AATTTTATAGGTCTCAGCTACGATCAATAATATGATGGATTTATTTATTCTTACTTTTCAGGAAGAAAGTAAGCTTTTAAAAATGTATTTTGTTAAAGTATTTTTAAAGTATTTGGTTTTGCAGTGACTACAGTAAATATTTTTGAAATAACTGCAAACAATTTACCATGGAGTTGGGATGAAATTAATGTCTCCTACTATAGATATTTGTAACACATTGGTCTGAATTTAGTTAAAATTAATAGTGTCCCAATTTAAATCTTGAGGCCCATATTTACTGTGTTCTATTCTTGTCATAGGTAACAGGGAGATGCTCTATATCCAGTGAGACTTCATCTTTTGTATCTTGCCCTTCAGAATTATCAATTCTTTGATAATAAAACTTTGAGTTTTCTACTGGAAAAAAAGTTGTTGCAGTTAAACAATAGGAAAAAATATTTCTGACACAGTGAATTTTTTTTTCCTTATAAATTTACAAATGAATATTTTAATTTGAAGACTTACGGAAAATTAAATTTTCATTCTAATCCTCTTTCAAATACTGTTTTTTGATTATTTTTTTTAACTCAACACGTTTCATGAGTATTTAGAATAACATGTAAATTGATGTAGTTTTCTTTCTGTTCATATTAATGAAACAATGACAATAAAAGAAACCTCATTGAAGTCTAAATTGAATTAAAACTTTCTTTAGAAATGAAGATTTTTTTAGATAGTAATTTGAAATAGCTTTTTTTTTTGAATGTTCTAGAAGAATCTTGCTGTTTTCTGTAAAAGGGAGGAGAGAGTTTGTCTCTTTTTAAGCCAGTTCTTTTATTTAAAATATTAGTTTATTTTTTAATAATGAAAATGAAACAAAATAACACTTTACACACTCTCTTTTCTTCTGGAAGGCCTTATTTATTAATATAATTAATATATGATAGAACATATATTATATAATGATTCATTTGTAGTAAGATTTCCATCTGTCTTCTGATATGACAAATAGGTTTTGTGGAGGAGAGAAGGGAAGGATGCTGGCCAAGGTTATACCTATGTAGATCCAAGAGCTTAATGTTGTGAAAGCCACCTTGCTGAATGTAGTTGGATGTATTAACAGAGAATGGTCGGAAGAGATTGAATGGTGTGATGAAGCAGAGCACTGCAGACAGAGGTGTATTGCTTTCTTCTGAGGCTCTTTATTTGGCACTCATGCCACAAAGAAGGATCTTTCCTACAGAGTATGATTTTTTTCCTGAATGTTTACTTCTTTTATGTGTCACGTCATAAGAAGTCCTGTACAGAATTGTCTTCTAAGTAATTGGTTTTGACCTTTACTTCAAATGCATTTTTGGGTTGCTAATGGAAGACTGAATTCCTCCATATTTTTTTTTTTTTCTGTAAAAATCAGCAAAAGGTAGTCCTGAGGCTGTACCAAGGACTTCCTCAGAAAGTACTTAGTAATGAAAAATACTCTTTTTTTTTTTTTCATGTTTTCTGGAAAGGGCACTTTTTTTTTTGTTTGATAATTTTTAATTAAATTGTTTTGGGGAGCTTGTCTCCAAATAGTATAAATACACCAAACCATTAATATGTTGTGGTGAACCTAACCGGAAGACCATTGTATATAAAGGAGCTAAGTGATCCATATAACGTAAGTTAACCTGAGTTGGTGCAGGCCCGTGCTGTGCTATAGGTATCCCTTGGCTACAGGGTAAACTTAGCCAGCTTATTGTAACAGAGGAGCCTGTAGGCAGCTCCCACTTCATACCAGTGATTACACCACCAGCATGTCCTTCTCCTTAACTAAAACTGCAGCACCAAGTTCTCACCTGAGCATCCTTTTTATTTGATGGTAGAAATACTAGAAGAATTGTTTTATTTTAACAAAATCCTATAAGAGCTAACCGTCCCACAGACTGCATCTGTACAGCGTGCTGCATCCTGACAGGAGGTCAGTTCCAATGCTGCACAACTTGGGGTTCCCAGTGTCTGAAGGGCTGTAAGGTTATTTATAATAACCTCTTTTTTTTTTTCTACAGCATTAGCTCCAATAACTGGCAGTGATACTTCATGAAGTCTGAGTGTCTGTCTTAGTGGGATCTTAATGAACCAGCACCCCCTGGTGCAAAGCACATGTGCATCAAAATTTTGCTTCTAGATATTCATGAACAATCTTTAAAAATTCTCTAGGAATTTCACTCTTCTATGACATATAAAGTCTTAGTTTGATAAAATTCTCTTGTATGTTAGCTAGTGTATTTTATGAAAGCAAGTATTTTAAAATTAGCCTTTCCTAGAATTAATTTTTATTTGAGATTATAATTTGCTGTATTTGCATTCATATAGGATTCCATCTGAATGCACTTCCTATTTAATGATTTGCCCCATGGTTATTTTATTTCTTCCATTTGGTTCTTGAGTGGTTTATCTCTTAAATTTAGTCTGAAACAGTATTTACAATATTGTAGAAAAATTTTATAAGCTTACAACAAATCTGTTTGGTATAAATGAGGAGTTCCACAACCAAATTTATACCTGTAGCTGATAGTAGGTGCTTTATTGCAAATTTGATTTATCTGTACTTCTTGGGGGACCAATTGAAGTTACTTGAGATGAGGTTGATAAATTATGATCTGACATTAGTAGCAGCATCTCAAGCTACTCTTTTTTTCTGTCACTATTTTGCAGTCACACTTAATATCAAAGTAGGTGAGTGAAGGCAATTGAGGAGGTATAAACTCGAGTAAAATAATTGCTAGTAAGTGCTAGTGAAAGAAAACCATTCTGAACATTCATAGTGTCTTCAACACTACATGGAGTGCTTACCACTGCTTCAGTTTAAGTTTAGGATTTTTTTTGCAGTTTGAATGTTTCTTTGATTTGTGACCTGGCTTTTGGACGATAACTTGCTTGGTTACATCAGCCTTGCTGACATCTGAAGGTACTTAGGAGTGGATAAGGTTACCTTAATGAATTTAATAATTTTTAATATACAACAGCCTACTTTCTTAGTCAGTGTCGTTTCGACAGTGGTTGTTCATAGGGTATGTAACATACCCTAAAATACCGTCTCAAGTTTAAAACCCTTAATATCGTGGATTGAAGTGTTACTTCTAGAGTGTAGTGTCATCTACTTTGTGAGAGCAAAAAATTCTGCATTCTTGACTGCTAAATGAGATCACTGTATTCCAAATGCATAGAGAGTCTATCCTCTTCTCTTTCTTGAACTTTCATTTAGTTTGTAGTAATCTTTCTGTAAAGGTAGAGACCTTTAAAATAGACACGATTCGTGCCCATGCTTTCATGTATTTCATCTTGTAGAATAAAGCTCTTAAAAAGGACAGACTTGAAACAAAGGTGTGAAATGTGTAACCTGGTGAAACATTTTATGCTTCTCTTCTTTTAAATTATTTCTATGTCAAGTATTGGTGTCTCTAAATTCTTCTTTTGCTAATGAAGACAGTGGACTGTTCTGAACATCGTTATATTACTGTCATAACAGTTCAGTGTTACAAACTTTTTAAAATCTTTTAACAGTAGCATTTTTGAAATCAAAGAACATTTCTTTATATTATAATGTTAAGATGTTTATTTGTTTATAATATGTAGGACATTTTTGATCATCTCAGATTCTGTAGCTTATCAGTGGATTTTTTTCAACTTAGGAAGCTTCGAACTTGATAAACAATACACTCTCTGTATGTATAGTGATATATATAATATATAATTTGTCCTGTATGAGAAAGCATGATCCCAGTCTGTTTGAAAACCTTGCCAGTGGTTGAAGTCCAAAATGTTCCCTAAATATGGATGCTTGTACCTGAGACAGTAATGAAAACAAAGATAATTAAGCCGTAGGTATTTTTGCAATAGAAACGGCAAATAACAGCAGAAAAGGCATGATGCAATATTTGTGACCAGATCGCTCTCCTTAAAAAAAGGATCAACTTCTATGTGTTCATGCTTCACAAAGTGCATATTATCCAACGAGCAAAGTATTGGTAGTTGGGTTTAAACAGTGATTTAAAAAATTTAGTTATTGGTATGTCAGTAACTATTTTTAGAAAGTATCTCAGGTTGAGACTTTTCAAATGACTGTATTCTTCTTATGATTTATAATGATGCTTAAGAACAAAAGTCTGTTGTTTAAATGCTGTATTAAATATTTAAGATATGGAATGATTCAAGTAAGAAATACTAATAAATAAACTATATTTACTTTCTTAATAATCAGTTTTATTTTGAATAAAACCATTAGAAATATAAAAAATAAGCTAACCTTGTGAGGTATAGGCCTTTACAACACAATTGTAGACATGTAGAATCATGGAATCATAGAAAGTTTTGGGTTGGAAGGGACCAACCTCAAGATCATCTAGTTCCAACCCCGCTGCCATGGGCAGGGACACCCTCCACTACACCAGGTTGCCCAAAGCCTCATCCAACCTGGCCTTGAACACTTCCAGGGATGGGGCATCTATAACTTCTCTGGGCAACCTGTTCTAGTGATCTATGCAGGGATTGAGCTGTCAGCTTTCATTTATATTGCATTTGTGCCAAATAATTTAATATGACCTTAAAGATAATTCATAACCTTTTCCTCCTTATGTATTTTGACCTTGAAACTTTAAATGATTCATGCATATTTTCCTGGGTTTCAGTAGCCCTATGAATGTTATACCTATAAAAATAGAAACGATTTACATGTTTCGGTTCCTAAGCTGTGAGGTTAAGTTTAGCTTATCTGCTTTCTCTTCCGTTATGATGAATACTCTTACATGCTGTATCAGAGTGTATGAATAATAGTTACAATATTCTAGGTGAGATTTTTCATGTTTTCAGCAATGACTCTGGAAGAGAATTATGCCTGGGAAATTCTACATCTAAATGGATGTTTGCTTTTTCTGTCCTTTCCTCTACTCAGTCATTTTGAATAGTCATCATAAATATCTAGAATGAAATTAAGCCTCTCAGGGGAAATGACTCTAATTCATCTTGCTCTGCTTTTAAATCAGGTGGAGTACCACCAATGAGATGGATTGTAAATTTTGACCGAGATCTTCTAGATGGTCTGGTATTGGCAGCACAGCTGGCAGCTTATTGTCCATATTTGGTAAGGACTTCTCTTAATATTGTGCAAGTTTTATACAGTTTATTAACTTAAGTGGGTTTATTGAGGCCTTATTTTCCTTTGGGACTGTTGGCTTATGTGATTTTTAAAAAGAAACAAAAGCAAATCTAGAATGATTATTTCAATATTAATTTTTCTTTAGGTATATTCTTAACAGGGAATTTTAGTTCAAAATTTAGATCTTATGGTTTGCAAAAGGAGTGAAAATACAAACAGTATTTTTGCTTAGTGGAAGATGAAGAGTTTGTTTTCTCTTTCTTCTCTAGATCGCTACTCACTTTGTAAGGATGTACACTAATCCAAGAACTCCTGAACAGTTTCTGCACAACTGTTTGATACTTGTCAATGCCATGCATGCTGTCAGGCTGGCTATAGACATAAAGGTAAATGAGTTTGTACTAGCAGTTCTTACATGCTTTTGAATTATTCTTTTCACTTTTATGATAGTAATATTGTACATCAGGTTAAGGTGAGATTTTAGTGAAACAATTTTGTTTCATGATGTGCTACTGTATGATGGAAACCAAAATACTGCTTCATATAAATACACTTAATTACAAGTAATTTCCATAATTCCTTGCTTTTTAGAATCAGATATATACAACTAGCTGAATATAAGATTAATTCAGTTCAGATTTTAGCATTGAAAATCACACAGTGAAAACCTGAGTGGAATTTATTGTTAACAATCTAAAGCAATTTATAAAAAAATGTGTTGAAGAAAAAGAAAATGCACATGAACATAAAAGAGAGTGGTAAAAAATTCTGTGAATGTCTGGTGACACTTATGTGAATCTACCTAATCATGAAGATTCTGTCCCAGATTTGATGCACACAGAAATCAGTGTATTTGGACTTCTGGTGAGTGCAACATTGTAAGCTGTCAGCTTCTGATGTCCTGTTTAGGGAGGAATATGATGTTGTTGATGTCAGTTTCTTCTTCAATCTAGGATCCACTTGGGATCATTTTTATATGTTTCGTAACATGCTTTACATCTCTGTCTTTTTTCATTGGCCTACAGATCCAAATTTTCTATATGTAGTGCCCGTTACATATGTTAGATATTATTTCATTGTTCTTTTTGTTGCCTCTAATACCAGTTTTCTCCTGCTCCCAGTCTGCATTTTTTTAATTGGCCATTTGTGAGTTATTTATAGCTGTGGGTTCTAGTAGTACCATACAAAGATAAAAGTAAAACAAATCGGTCACAGAGGCCTGATCAATTAAAAAAGTTACTGTCACAGCTAAACCAAGTAGAGCAAATCTCTACAAGCTGGTCAACAAACCTTCAGACAGAGAAGCCTTGTCAAATCCTGGTGCTGAGGCCTTGTAAATTCAGTACAAAGCTTATGGTCTATTAACAGCAATGGCAAGGCTGTGTTACAGGGTTACATGTTCATAGACGTTCGTGCTCTTATCTTCCATCTGCTGGTTGCATGTTAGTTACTGAACTATTACCTATTTAAAATAGCAGATTCCCTCCTATTTTCCTTTTCTTCATTGCTCCTGGAGTCATTAAAAATCCTGTCCTTACCAAAACTAGTAAATTGCTTAAGGTCACATCTTTCTCTTAAGAATTTTGATTGATTCAGCTTCTATTATGAGCAAAGTGATTGTCAGGGGCTCTGATGGGCTGGGTGTGGAGCATATTAGGCTGGCTAGAAGGCCAGAAGAGAATACAGTAGAATGACACAGTGTTTGTTGGTGTATGAGGAAACTTTGCAAAGGAATTAATAGTATTAGGAATCAGAGGTAGAGGTGTGGTGTGAACAAAATGGTATGAAAGAAAGCTCAATTACAACTTTTCTTTTCCCTTTCCATTTGATTGTGTTATGACTACAGGGAAAAACTGCAATTTCCAATTGTGACAGCTACTGTCTTGCTCCCACATCCCCATACAGATATGCTGTTGTAAATGGCTTTGCTATGAGAGGCTAAACCAAGAAAATCTACTGTTTCCTATACTGTGACTGACAGGAAGAATAAAAAGATAATCTTCCAAATGAAGGCATATTTTTCCTCAACTTCTAGTAAGAAAACCAGGCAGTTCAGCACATGAAGACAAAGGCTGGATGCCAGATATGCAAAAGGAATTAACCACATTAAAGATGGTGTTACACTGGAATCAAAATAGTTAAAAAATTTCTTAATAACCAGTGCTGTTAAATCGACATTTGTAAAGCCCCATCCTTTAGACAAAGTTAATGATTTACCTTGAATAGAAAAGTGAATAGCAGACCACCTGACAATGTGGTTTGTACTAAACAATGTGATTAATTAGATAACAATGTAATGTAATTAAATACTGCCACTCTGTGTGTGGATCGGCGTATTGCACACCGGGTGAATGAACCCCAGATTTTGGGACAACAGTGGCAGCAGAGCTTCAGGACAGTCTTCTTAACACACTTTGTGTTTTAAGACTGCACAAGCCAAGACATATTAGGTCTGGAATAGGTGATGCTTTCAATCACTTTAAAATCTAAGATTCTCTAATAAAGAAGTTTAACTGTCTGGAAGACTTGAGCTGCAAGTTTAAATGATACCTCTAATGGAGTTCAAGGCTTTTAAATCCTCTTAAGAATTAAGATATAGGCTTAAGATGGAGTACTTTGGGCAAGAAATTCTTTGTTTCCACTTTCTAATCATGACTGATAGTTTGCCTTGGAGAATTAATGATGTCTTTCTATGTATTTTTGCTTTGTGTTTGATGTTTTTAAGTTCTAAAATGCTTTGATTTGAAGAAGATCCAATTGAAATGGTGGATAACAGCGATATGGAGGGAATGTATGTGACAAGGATAGGTTAGGATAGATTAGGAGAGAGAATGCAGTGATTTGGGATAGCCAGTAGAGGAACTCGATTTGCTACTGACTGATTTAAAATTTGGGCCAACAATACTGACATTTATATTTAGGACCAAGTAAAAGGGAGGATATTTTCAAACAAGATATTAGAAGATGTTGTGAGTTAAGTCAGAGTGTTAAGAAGCTGATAATGAATGTGGCTGTTCTGTTGAAATGAAGAGAGGAATTCAGCATTGTGGAGTAGAAAGCAGTGAAACTGGGCAATAGCATGGCCATATGAGCAAGAAAGGGGTCAGACTTGAGTCTGACAAGAGTTGAATCTGAAGTGAAGGAGAGAAAGAAGATGCTATCAGCAGCCAATGGAGAAGAAGAAAGAAATGCAGCAACATAGAATTTTTTTTCATTTCCAGTATATGTAAGAATTTTTCCTTGAGGTAGCCTCCAGGTTATTGTATGCACTTAGAAAGGTAGCTTCATGGCTGTCACTTAATATTTCAGTCATACTTTTATTATAATCATCTCTAAAGATGATTAATACTTTTTTGTCTTTGGTTTCTTGTACTTTAGTAAGGAGCTATTAGCTTGGTAAATAAGGCAACTTCTTGACAAAAGTAACTTTAAGGAAAAGGATTTATTTCTTAATTCTTAGTTATTTGACTAAAATATTTGTGAAACTGCAAATACACAGATAAAACTCTGTATCTGTCTGTCCACCAATCTATAACGTAAATGCAAATACCTTGGTGTCTTGGTTTTGACTGGGACAGAGTTGTTTTTTCTTTTTAGCAGCTGGAAGAGCTGTGTGTTTTAGTATGGGATTTGTTATGAGAAGATTATTGATAGTACATTGATGTTTACAGTTGGTGCTGAGGCATCAAAGACCTTTGAACTTGCTGTGTTTTACCAGTGTGCAGAAGCACAACAGGCTTGGAGGGCATGGCTGGGACAAAGGGCCCACAATTCCTAATTTATGATTAGAACATAGACTTAGGATTGAGGGCTGCATTGGCCAATGGCGTATTCCATATCATGCAAGATCATGCCCAGTATATAGGCGAGGGCTGACCGGTAAGTTGGAAATTTTCTTCAGAGGGTGCTGTCTCTCTCCACCCCCCACCCCCTCCCCTGGGGCTCTCACTCGTCTGGGATTGCAGTGTCGGGACTTAACTGTTTCAGAATCGTTTGCTGGGATGGGACAAATTTACCTCAAGGGGGCCTACAAGAAAGATGGAGAGAGGCTGTTCAGGAGGGCCAGTTGTGATAGGACAAGGGGTAATGGTTTTAAAATAGAGGGAGGTAGATTCAGGTTGGATATTAGGAAAAAATTTTTTACCATGAGAGTTGTAGAACACTGGAACAGGTTGCCCAGAGAGGTGGTGGATGCTCCATCCCTGGAGACGTTCAAGGCCCGGTTGGATGAGGCCCTGAGCAACCTGATCTAGTTGGAGATATCCCTGTTCCTTGCAGGGGGGTTGGACTAGATGACCTTTGAAGGTCCCTTCCAGCCCTAACGATTCTATGATTCTATGATTCTATGATTCTAATTGTTGTTCACTGGGTGATAAGCAATTACACTGTGCATCACTTTTTAAATATTTTTTTTAAATATATATTCATATATTATTATTATTTTACCATTATTACTACTACTTCTTCTACCATTCTTATCTCAGCCCATGAGTCCCCTTCCCTTTTCCCCCTTAATTCTCTTCCCCGTTCCCCAGTGATGGTGAGGGTGAGTCAGTGGTTGTATGGCATTTAGTTACTGACTGAATTAAACTGTTCTGCTTGGTTTGCCTGAGATAGGAATCTGATATTAATGTCTGGTCTTATATTCAGAACATAGAAGAAATAAACGAGTTAAAAATGACTTTTATTTGTTAGAGTAGCAATTTTCGTCTTATACGTATCTTTCCTACTGTATTCTGGAAAAATACTTGAAGAGAGTTGTAAAGGACTGAATCTTCCTAAGCATCCTTATAAAAGTGAATGCAAAAACTATTTGCTTTGATTTGTAAGCATGATAAATCAGAGCATTAGATAAAGAATATTTGACTGGGATTCATCTTTATTGATAATATTGTGCAAAGCATTTGATACTGTCCCACACAATGTCCTTGTCGCTAAAATGGAGAGACATGGATTTGACAGGTGGACGACTCAGTGGTTAAGGAGTTGCCTGGATAGTCGCACTCAAAGAGTTGCAGTCAATGACTCAGTGCCTGGGTGGACAACAGTGATGAGTGATGTCCTTCAGGGGTCTGTACTGGGACCAGTATTACTTAATGTCTTGTTGGGGACACGGACAATGGGATTGAGTGCACCCTCAGCAAGTTTGCTGATGACACCAAGTTGTGTGGTGTGGTTGATACTCTAGAGGGAAGGGATACCATCCAGAGGGACCTGGACAGGCTTGAGAGATGGGCCCATGTGATCAACAAGGCCAAATGTAAAGTCCTGCACATGGGTTGGGGCAATCCTTGAATCTTCTCGAGGAGAAGGAATTGGGGGTGTTGGTGGATGGAAAACAGAATATGAGCTGGCAATGTGTACTTGCAGCCCAGAAAGCCAACTG